TAACGATTCTGTGTCCCTGAGTAACAATTCTGTGTCCCCGAGTAACGATTCTGTGTCCCTGAGTAACGATTCTGTGTCCCCGATTCTGTAGTAACGATTCTGTGTCCCTGAGTAACGATTCTGTGTCCCTGAGTAACGATTCTGTGTCCCTGAGTAACGATTCTGTGTCCCTCAGTAACGATTCTGTGTCCCTCAGTAACGATTCTGTGTCCCTGAGTAACGATTCTGTGTCCCTGAGTAACGATTCTGTGTCCCTGAGTAACAATTCTGTGTCCCTGAGTAACGATTCTGTGTCCCCTGAGTAACGATTCTGTGTCCCTGAGTAACAATTCTGTGTCCCTGAGTAACGATTCTGTGTCCCTGAGTAACGATTCTGTGGCCCTAAAGTCTCTGTGGCCCTAACTCTGTGCCTAATACAGACAGGTCTGTCTCTCTTGAATGACCGGAAGCTAATGGAGAATTCTAAGATGGCCGCGATTTATAGCTCCACCATTACACAGTGCTGGCTGGCTGGCTGCTGATTGGCTAATGCGATCACATGTCATGAATGAATGCATTATGGGTCAGCGCGCCTTGTCTGCGCGTCTTCCCAGAGATCCCCCGCTCCGTCGCCACACATGTCGCCGCCATTTTTGGGAAAATTCGATTCGTGCATCCGAAGTTTGCTAATTTTCGGATTCGGCGCGAATCGAATTTTTCCTAATCTTCGAAACGAATTCCACTTCACCATGTTCGATTCGCTCATCTCTAGTGTCAATGCAAGCAGACACTGCAAGTAATACTGTATATTCAATGATAAAATGCTAAATTGGTTTCGTAAGCTTTTTGGCTCTGGTGTCTGGAGATCACCCCATTTGTTCAATAGAGATTCCTACTGATAAAGCACACCATGATGATGCTTCCATTGATGCAATAAAGGGAAACAGGAATATTAATAAGGTAGTGCTAACCTTTTTTTTAGTCTTGTTGCATTACCACACATAAAGACAGTGCAGAGAATTGGACACACAAGAGAAATTGGTTGATCATAATCTTCAACACATACAGATTAGATTTACAGATTTACACCCTGGTCACACCAAACCAGACTTTGAAATCATGCGACTTACAGTGAAGTCACACGATTTTCAAAGTCAGATAACTTGCCGATTTTGAGGTGCAATTTGCAAGACATCTGACACAGATGTCTATGCAAATCGAACCAAAAATAGTGCATGTACTACTTTAGAAATCGGTGCAGATCCGATCAAGTTGGAACAGCACCGATATGACCCCTCTAATTGCGGACAATAGGGTGCGACTTGGCATGACTGGCAGGGCTAACACAAGTAAAATTTTCTACTGTATTATATCTATTCAGCTGTAGGTGTCACTATTGCTATTGCTAGATGTTTCTAACTCATGTTTGTGTATTGCAGAAAAACAGCAAGAATTAGATCATTGGGCAGGTTTCTACTGTAGAACACAGAAAAACCAAGTTGTGGCGAAAAATGTGCAGGTTAGATATAACTGTGGATGAAATCCACAAATACTGTGTCACTCATATTGGGCTAAAGTGAAGAAAGGGAAGTGTTGTGTCTTTACCCCCCCCCCCCCCCCCCCCCCCCCATCCCTCCCCCTCCTTCCCCCACCCTCCCCCCCCCCCCCCCCCTTCCCCCCTCTTTTCTTTTTTTTTTACTGTTCTCTACTCTTCATCTTTTCTTTTTTTTCTTTCTATCCTTTTTTTTTCTCTCCTTTCTTTTTTCTTTTCCTTTTTTTCATTTCCTTTTTATCTTTTTATTTCTCTTATTTCGCTCCTTTTTTTTCTCATCTTCTTCTTTTCTTTCTGTTCTTTTTCATTACTTTTACTATCCTATTCTTATCTCCTCTCTCCTTTTCTTCTCTATGCGTCTCTCTTCCTTCCTCCTTCTTCTTTTCTTACTTTTTTAAACTTCCTTATTCTTCCTATCTTCTTTTTTTATCTTTGCATCTCTACTCTCTTTTTTCATATCCCTTCTCTCTATTCTTTTTACTCTTCTATTTCTGTCTTTTCTCTTCTCCCATTCCTTCTTTGGACATTTCTCTACCTTTATTCCTTACATTCTTCCTTCCTACTTTTCCTTCTTCTATCTTCCTGTGGCTAATCTTATCTGTACAAAATCCTGTCCTTTTTTGCTTCTATCTCCTTCTCTGTCATTGTCTTGTCCTTTTCTTCCCTGGCACTTTCCTCCTTCTTTCTTTTCACTATTTTTCTTAAGCGCTTTCTTAATCAAACACCTTTTTCTTCTCTTTCCATTTTCATTTTTGTGTTTCTTTGAACTTTCCTTTGTCTCATTTTTTTCATTTTCTTCTCTTACATTTTTTTTTTTTTCTTTCTCTTTCTCCCATTGCGCTTTCACCTTTTTTTTTGTTCTTTCAACTTCCTTTTCGATTCTTTTTCTTTTTTTTCTTTTTCTCTTTATACTTTTTTATTTTTTTTTCTTTTTTTTTTGGTTTTTTTTTACGAGTTTTCCTTTTTTTTTATTTTCGCATCCTCGTTTTTTTTTTTCCTTTCTTGTCTTCTCTTTTATTTTTTACATTTTTTATACATCTCTCTTTTTTTCTCTTTTCTTTTTCCTTGTTTCTGTTTTTTCCTTTTCGTCTTTTTACTTTTTTCTGCTTTCCTCTTCCGGTGCTGAACTTTCTCTTTTATTATCACATTTCTTTTCTTTAATATTTCTTTCTCTCTCCTCTCTTTTTCTACCTACTTCTTTCAATCCTTTTTCGGCTTCCCATGAACTTACTTTATCCCTCTCTTTCAACTTTTCTTTCTCTCTTCTTTTACTACTCTTTTTCACTGTAATCTCCTAAATTCTGTTTAATGATCCTGTTTTTTCTTTATGTACTAGTACACTTCACTTTGATTAACCTAATTCACAGCCTTCTTTACACCTTTCCCTCTTTTCCACAATTCTACTCCACTCCACTATTACATCTATTCATCTACCCTGTTACTTCTACCACAATCAAACTGGTCTTCCTTTCTCACTCACCTTCTAACTTTATTAATCTCTATTCCTCCTTACTTTTACTCATTCCTCCCTTGGTCTTTAAATTAACAACTCCTTTCCTGTCTTAACCCATCCTTTTTCCTTCCTCTTACTTAAAACCTTCTTGTTCTCTCTTTTCTACTTTTTACCCCCACTGATACTGCCCAATCCCTTTGTTCTAATCTTCAACTTATCACTGTCACTATCTTTAAACGTCTTCCTCCTTTCTTCTCCAACTATGCTTTATACTTCTGGTGCTCACTTTACTTCTTTACTTATACCCCCCTACGTCTTCCCCCCTTCCCCTCTCAATTATGTCCGCTCAGCTTTCTTCCTATTGCTTTTATTTCTTCTTTTCTTTCCCTTCTTTTACCTTTTAATTTTTTTCTTTTCTTTGCTCCTTTTTTTTTATTGTCTTCCACCCCTCTTACTTTCCTTCCTCTTTTCCTTTTAACTTCTAGTTCTTTTCCTTTCACTTTTTTTTCTCTTAATTCTTTTCTGAGAAGTTCTTATTTCTTTTATCTTCTTTCTTTCTGTTTTTAGTTTTTCTCTTCCTTCTTTTTATGGTTTTTATTCTCTTTTCTTTCTTTTATGTTGTTTTATTCTAATTCTCCTTCTTCTTTCTCTTCTTCTCTTAACTCTTCCTATCTTCTTTCTTTCTTTTTCTATTTGCTCGTCTTTACTGTTCCTTTCTTACTCTTATTTTCTTTTTTCTGTGTTTTCCTTCTTTTAATTTCTTCTTCTGTCTATTTTTTCCTTTTTGTTCTCTTTTTCTTTGTTTTTTTTTTTTCTTTACTTTTTTCTTTATTTTCTTCTTTGGTTTTTTCTTCTTAGTCTATGATGTTCGTCTATTTTTTTTTTTTTTTTTTCTTTTGCTTTTTTTGCTTTCTTCTAACTTTCTTTTTCTCATTTTTTTATTTTCTTCTTCTTTTTTTCCTTTACTCTCTTCTTTTTTTTTCCTTTTTTCTTAATGTTGTTTTCTTTTTCCTTTCTTATGTCTTATTTATCTATCTTTTTTTTTTTTTTTTCTGTTTCTTTTTTATGTTTTATCTCTCACTTTTTTTTTTTTCTTGTTTATAAGTTTTTCTTGATCTTCTTTAATTCTCTTTCTGTTTCTTCTTTTTTTTTTTCCCTCTTAAGCTGAGAGTTAATTGTTATCTTGTTTTTAAACTCTTCTTCTTTTTATGTCTTTTATCTTTTTGTTTCCTTCTTTATTTCTTTTGCTTCTTTTTTTTATTCTTCTGTCTCTTTTTTTTTTTTTTTCCTTCTTATTCTATTTGTTCTTATTCTCTTTCTTTTTATTTTTTTCTTGTCCCTTCTTCTTTTGTTTATTATTCTTTTTTTTTGTTCTTCTTAATCTTTGTTTTAATAATATTACTTATATTGGCTATTCTTCTTTCTGTTTTTTTCTTTCCTATTTTTGTTATTTCTTTGTTTCCGTTTTTTTTTTTTTTCTTTTTGTTTCTTCTTTCTATTCCTTGAATTTGGTTTATTTGTAATCTTTCTTCTTTTTATTTTTTTTTCTCTTTTTCTTTTCTTTTTTTCTATTTTCTTTGCTTTTTTTTTTTTTTCTTGTTTGGTTTGTTTTCGTTATATGTCTCTGTTGACAATCTGTTCAACCTTTTTACAGCCAACGTTAGATCTACCAGAACTATATAATATGAGGAATTACCTAAACCATTTAACCAATTTGTATCCAGACAGACCCTTGCAGGACTAAAGGAGATTGTACAATTAGATTGTAATGTGTGTGTAGTGGGCTTCAGTGGTTATATATATGCCACAAAATATATTTTATCTGAATGGTGCTTGACATCCCCTTTTATGGGGTCATATGAGTTAACAGGAATTTAACCTCCCTGGCGGTATTCCCAAGTGTAGCTCGGGGTAAAATTTCAGTACCACAAGCGGTATCCCCGAGCTACACTCGGGCTTACCTGCGGCGTTGCTCATGGATTCCCTGCAGCGTTTACCTTGTCTTTCGCTCCCGCGATGTGTCCCCTGCAGTGTCCCCGGCCATCTCCTCTGGCCGATGCCAGCATCCGGCTTCCGTGTTCCGGTCCCTGTGACGTTGGGACGTACGGGCGCCGGAACTGGCGGCAAATTTGAAAGTTTTAAAAAATGTCATTTTTTTAAAAACGATTATTACATAGTAAAACATTGCTGTTTCAAAGCATTTCACATGCATGTTGTCCCTACTGCTTTGTCCTGTGCCCTGCCTGCATTTTGACTGTTCTTTCTGCCTGGAAACTGAGAAATGTCCATGGCGTCCAAAAAGCGTCCCTTTATGTCAAAATCGGTTTTAGACCAGCTAGAGAACAGCGATTAGTAAATCAGAACCACTTGCAGAATTGAGTGATAATGATTTGTGGGGAAATTCGTCATCAGACACTGAAAACGATTTTGCGACTTTGCTCAGTGATGTGCGAACTTGGCACTATATTTCAAATTTCAGTGTTTTTGGTTTGATTATATTATTGAATTAAATTTATTATTATATTATTATTTTTTTTTGATTATTTATTAAATTATAATTTATGATTTCGTGTTTCAAGTTTTATCATATCCGGGATGTTTACTAGACTCTTGTTTGGACAGATTTCAGTGAGTTATTCCTAAAAATGACAGGCCTACAATAAAAAAAATACATATTTCCATGCAAAATAATGGTACCGCTTTCAGCACCAAAAATCTGAAATAATTATACCGCCAGGGAGGTTAAGGGTTAGACATGTAAAAATGTAGTAAAATGTACCATTGTACAGTATATATAATGCATTTTTGTGTGGATCTGTATGTACAGCGTGTACAATGTACATATGGGGTATTCATTGGTGTGCAGTAAAGTATACACTATGTTATACATTAAAGTGTTACTAAACCCACAACAGTAAAATCAGTCTGTATATGCAGTAAAGCATGCTTGCTATACTCACTGTGAAACCTAAGGGGTTAATCCTCCACATTGTGTAAAAAGGATGTTTGATCCTCTCCTCTCTGATCCTCCCCTTCTTCCAGTGTCTTCTAAATATCTCCTGATAGAACAGAGGCTCAGGGCAAGCTGCACATGCTCAGTTTGGTGTGTATTGCTAGAAAGTTTTTTTTTTTTCTTGGGAGAGTGCATGTGATCAGCACAGGGCCAATCAGCACTCTTCAGACAGAGGTCAGGAGGTCCTGCATCCTCCTACAGGAGAATGAAAACTCCTGTTACAAGCTGTAACCAGTGCTTTGCTGGACACTGATAGAAGTCACAATACTATTCTAACTGCTGATGGGAAAATGTATTTAGCAGTTTATATTTACTAAAATAATTGCACTTCCATGTTGTGTGTACTGTGGGAGACCAGATAGAGAGAATGCAGGGTCCTGGGTTTAGTAACTCTCAGCTCCAATAAAGTGTTAAGCCCTTTATAAAGCCAATGCAGATCAAGTACCCCATGGTAAAGGTCACTTAATCTGAAATACCCAGATTTGTTTCCAATGACCCCATATTTTGTGTATATGTTCTCCAGCAACAATCAGGTTTTTGTTCTAAATGACTAAAAGTGAATACTTTTTTATGTTTGAATACAGTAGGTGTAGTGTATTTAGCTTTCCAGTTTGTATAGTGCATTATAGTTCTTCAGTGTGAGAAAACAGCCACATTTGTCAATTTAATTTGCCTGTTTGGAATGCTGTGAACAGGTTGAACCTGAATTTGAGATGCATCCCTATATACAGTATAAGTGATGTCCAAACGTTTGCCCACTACAAGATTTGCTCTGGCCTGCAGCTAGGGTCTGTAGCGTATCCTCAGATTCAGAGCACAGACTAAGGATTCCTTTCAGTTGGTCTCCGATGGGGACCCTGATGTAAGTTGGGCTCTGAGATGATAGTGGGCCTCTGATGTGATTGGGGGGGGGGGTTCTTATGTAAAGTTACTCCTTGTAGTGTGCGTATTCATTCATTAAAATTTTATTCCTTCATTTTTAAAATTGATTTATTTCACATTTGTAAAATGTATAATGTTGCCTGCATGCTGAAACATTTGGAGGCCACCAAAACCGTTAAGTAGAGATATGGATGACACATCTTGTTGGCCAACCAAATATACTTTGGGGCTGTGAGTTTTAATAAACACTTTGAGATGTCCTTATATAACCTTGGGTATACAGTATAATATGCGTCTTCTTCAGACATCACTTATTGCTGGGGTACAGTCAACAGGCATTCTACTTCGTTTGCAGGTTTAAGGCATCCCCCAAGCACATTTACAGAAACTGTACATTTTTAATGTTGCCTTTTAAGCTACAATAAAGGATCTACCTCTGGCTAAATAGTATTTTTTAAACTTTGTCGGTACAAGTCCCCTATGGCAGTGGCCAGCTACCTTTGACCTTTTTTTTTTACCAAAACCTCGCAAACTGACCAAAAAAAAAAAGTTACCAGATTTGGCTGCCATAGACTTAAGTGGGGTTTGGGCGCTATGTTTGCTGATTTTTCCATGTGTACCATAAATGTCCAGCAGACTGAACTTTGTGCTTTAGATAAATATTCATACCATGCCATTAACAATGCAGTGAAATCTAGTATGATGAGCATAATGCACCACAGGAAAATGATATTAATAGCAAAACATTTATAACAGCATGACAGACCATTAGTTCAGGATGAATATTATATATTATTAAACATATTCAAGAAAAAAGGTCACTTGGTGTACAACAAGATGCCTCCATTTACCAGCTCATCATCTACTGTACTTGAGTGTTGATGTTTTCTTCCTGCGGTCTTATACATTAAAATATACACCAATCAGTCATAACTTTATAACCACTGACAGTTTAAATGAATAACGTTGATTATCTCCTTACAGTGGCATCTGAAAGTCAGAGGGATTTATTAGGCAGCAAGTAAACATATTTGTCCCTGAAGTTGATGGGTTGAAAGAACAAAAAATGAGCATCACAGTTTACTATGTATTATGCCACATAGCCACAGATTAGTAAGGGAACCCATGCTGATCCGGGTTCACAGCCAAAATTTCCTACAATGGGCAGGTGAGCATCAAAACTGGACCATGGACCAATGGAAGAAAGTGGCATGGTCTACTGATTTAAATTTTTTGTTTTACAACATGTGGATGGCCGGGTGTGTGTACGTCGCTCTCCTGGGGAAGGGATGGCATCTGGATGCAGTATGGGAAGAAGGCAAGCTGGCAGAGGCAGTGTGATGTTTTGGGCAATATTCTGCTGGGAAACCTTGGTTCCTTACATTTATATGGATGCTAGTTGACACATTATCACCAATGTAAACATTGTTGCTGACGAAGTACACTCCTTCTGGGAAACAGTATTCCCTGATGGCAGTGGCCTCTTTTATCAGGATAATGTGCCCTACCACACTGCAAAATGGTTGAAGAATGGTTTGATAAACACAACGAGTTTGCGGTGTTGACTTAGCCTACAAATTCATCAGATCTCAATCCAATCAAGCATTGGGAGTCCAATCCATGGAGGCCCCACCTCACAATTTAGCAGACTTACAGGGATAGTTACTGACAGCTAGGTGCTAGATACAACAGCATACCTTCAGATGCCTAGTGGGGCTGTTTTGGTGGCAAAAGGTGGACCTAGTAAATATTAGGTGGGTGGTCATAAAGTCATGACTGATCTGTCTAGTTTAGTTTAGATATTCCATGTAATATAATAAGTAGGATGAGCTGTCTAGCAAGACTGCTTAACCACTTGCCCTCCAGAGGATTTACCCCCCTTCCTGATCAGGCCATTTTTTGCGGTATGGCTCTGCGTTATTTTAACTGACAATTGTGCGGTCATGCAATGCTGCACCCAAATGAAATTTATGTCCCTTTTTTTTCTCACAAATAGAGATTTCTTTTGGTGGTATTTGATCTCCTCTGCGTTTTTTATTTTTTGAACTATAATTTTGAGAAAAAAAACAATATTTTTGACTTTTTGCTATTAAACATGTCCAGTAAAAAAATGTTAAAAATCTAATTTTCTCATAAATTTAGGCCAAAATGTATTCTGCTACATGTCTTTGCTAAAAAAAAAAAAATCCCAATACGTGTAAATTAGTTGGTTTACGTGAAAGTTATAGCATCTACAAACGATGGTATAGATACTGGAGTTTTTTTTTTTATACTAGTAATGGCGGCGTTCAGCAACTTATAGCGGGACTGCGGCAGGCATTATGACACTGGGGGGAACTGACTAACTGTCACTGACATCCCCAGTAACACCAATACAGTGATCAGTGCTAATAAAAAGCACTGACACTGTACTAATGATACTAGGCAGGAAGGGATTACATTTGGGGCGATCAAAGGGTTAACTGTGTGCTGTGTTGTGTTTTATAGTGTGCTGTGTGTGTGCTTTACTGTGTAAGCACATTGTTTTGTATTGCTCTGCTATGCAGAGCAATACAAAACAGTGTGCAGAAGCTAACAGGGGAGAGATCTGTGTTGTTTACATACAGGTCTCTCCCCTGTCGGTGATACACAACGATTGCTGGGTGCCGGTGGGGAATCACTGGCCGGGATCAGATGATCGACAGGTGAGGCTGCCAATGGTGGAGCAGGTAGGGTGCATGTGGTTCGCGTGCGCCCCCTACCCAGAAATGGGAATCTGAACTCCCAGCAAGTGGCTGCTTAGGCAGCTACCTTAGGGCACCAAGGTGGGAGCAGAAAATCCCAATCCCCAGCCACTTGCTGGGAGTTCAGATTTTTAAAATACCTGACTATGGGGGGGGGGGGGGAAGAACACCGCTGGTGAGGGATCTAGAGGTCACTGCTGTAGGAGAAAGGGGGGCAGAGGACATTGCTGTGGGGGGAGAATGGGGCCATAGGTCACTGCTCTGGGGGAAAGGGGGCAGAGGACTTTGCAGGGGGAAGGGGGCCAGAGGGGCCAGAGGTCACTGCTAAGGGGGAAAGGGAGGCAGAGGACATTGCTTGGGGGGGGAAGGGGTCCAGAGGTCACTGCTATGGGACAGAGGACATTGCTGATGGAGGGGGAGAAGGGAGCCAGAGATCATTACTATGGCGGCAAGGGGGGGCAGAGGACAATACTGTGGAGGGTGATTTGAAGGGCGATAAAGGGCACTGCTATGGGGGAGCCCCTGCCCATAGCAGTGTCCTCTGCACATCAGCACCCCCCCAGTAATGTTCTCTGCCCCCCAATCCCTCATTAGCAGTGACCTCTGGCCCCCTTCCCCCCCTCCCCAGCAATGTCTTCTGCCCCCCCCTTTCCCCCAGCCTTCTCCGCTGCTGCTGTCATTCTCAGTGCACAGTGGAGAGCAGAAGACAGCAGGACTCAGGATGGAGGGCAAGAGGAGGAGCTATCTAAATGAATTTTTCA